AGACTTGTGTACGATTTATCCTACAACATATTAGAGCGCTCAATTATATAATTATTGCATAACTGCATTGTGGTTCAAAGCGCAGTTAATACCGTACTTGCTCATATGATTATTACAGACCAATAATGTAGCTCATAGCGCAGTGAATACTGTGTTGACTTACGCGATAGTTGTAGAACGACAATGCAGCTCTGAGCGTGGTATATACCAGTTACCCGACTTATTTATATATTGTCTACACCAACATTGCCAAGAATTTAAAAGCGAAGAAAACAGCCAAAAATTCACCATTTTTCATGAAAGTTCAAAAACCTAATGCAAAAGTACAAGTAATTGGCAAACTAAATTTCACATTGAAGATAGTTACTGATTTTGTTTGCTCCTTTATTTTACTTGTGTTTTAGGTTTTTGAACTGACGATGGAGCTGGACTCCGAAACGGTTTCTCGCATTATTAAGAAATAGTCTATTTTTTGCCTGTTTTCTTTGCTGTTAAATTATTGTTAACTTGCGATTTAAGCAATCGAGTGATCTTAATTCTCACCAACATCGCAGCTCAGAGAGCAGTAAATACTAGATTTATTTACTTTATACGATTATTTACCCCTACATTGCAGCTTAACCCGCAGAATATTTTAGGCTTATTTATTCGATTATTGACACGTTGTAGCACAGAGTGTAGTAAATACTAGGCTGATTTATATGATTATTTTACACCTATACATTGTAAATCTGAGCGCGCAGTAAATACGGTAGAAATTCTTCATGTGGTATTATAAGCAATTGCTATCATTAGAAAGATTGAGTGTTTTAGACCAGCCTGATGAGAGACTACGACGCCTTTCTTGTAAAAGAAGCAATCCTTGTATAATATTTTCGCCTCTTGCAACGTACCAACAACAGCGTCGTAAGTTTAAACCGACATCGATGTAACGGGACAAACAAATATGTTATTGGGGCTATACGAGGGACTTGAGTGTCGTTTGAATTCATCGAAGAATTGGGACTTCAAAGACTTTGTGTTCAATTAACCCACTTGACTGATTTTCCTTCCCCAGAGTTGGTAATTTTTTTCCTATAATTTAAAGAACACATAGGCCTAAATTTTGTTCTGGCTTTGATTGTATGTACAATAAGGCATTAAAGAGAAATGACGAACGCTCAAGATTTTTATTACAACTCTGCGTTGTCAGCTCCCTGAACAACTCTGTTTGGATTTAATCATCGACTTAACACCCGTCCAGTTTCTAATGAATTAAAGTTCATTAATAAGTGTGAAGTTTTCTAGTCATAGATCCATTGACGAAGAAAATTTAACAAGTTATCAAAAAAACGTTTATATGTAAGGCGCGTTGAAATTTTCTGCAGAGCTCCTACAAATAAGTGCTATTGCTTCTTGAAGCGTGAAAATAATTCCTTGATTAAAGGAGAAGGATACTACCTGGTTTTCGAGATTATGACTTCAAATCGGGGCACGGACTCAAACACGACTGTCGCTGCCGACTATGCACGCAGCCTACAGTTCGTTTAAACTTTGGTGTACTGACTATAGCTCAAGTTACCAGGTCTTGAGGTACGAATAGCATTAACATCGCTTCACTTGTCCTCAGATAAAGCGTTAAGTATTGTGGACCCTCTCGCTGGCTCGGGATTACAGATGGTGGCGGTGGGTCTGTGATACGGAGGTTGATGCGACGCCCTCTTATAGCTTGTACTTCAGAAGGAGTGGCCGGAGACGTGCAATCAGTCCTGAATCATACGAAGTCCTCGTCATGGCGACGACGAAGCACATCTGCCGCATCATCAATATACCCGGAGCCATTTGTCATCCAGGACCTTCCCTACGGCGCATTCATGCCATTATTTCAACTTTTTCTCGCAAAAGCTGCGTTCATTGTTGTATGAGCCTAACTTATGGACTCGTAATTGTCACTACGACATTGCAGTAGCGCTTGTAGTACGTTCTTCATCTCGACTCAAATGACTACGCCAACTTCTCAATGAAAACACGTCGTTTTTTGTTGCTTTCATGTCCCCTATAATTCTTATAGCTGAGCCTCAACTCTTCGCATGATCCATTCTCCGGAGGAATTTTGTGACTCTTGGCGATGCAATTCATTACTCTTTTGTGACAGTTTGCGGTGGCTCGAGATTCCTCTCTCGACAGCGACTTCGAAGCCTATTTTCGATGGCAATAATGCATGTTCTATGAACCGCGTTTCTTTTATACCAAGATATATTTCCGAATAATTGTATTGCCATTTTTATCAAATGTATAACTTTCAATTGTAATTTCCTCACCAGGACTTGACCAACAATTTGTTGAGAAGATCAAGATTTTACCTTTCGGGGCTAATATCATGACTTGCGGTGGACCAAAGATCCATCATAAACCTTTGAAACCGCAAGAATTGTAAGGTTATTGAGTAGTACAAGGGTTGTAAACCTTGAAACTTCTGGCCGCATAAATTTAGCGGCATTTAGGTTGACTGGGCTTATGGATTTAGGGCATATGGATGACGATAGAAGTGTTTAATAAGAAAGTTTCTTTATACGCATGTAGCGACGAGCAGTGGTCAGTGTTTACCAAACCCAATAATAATAAATATAAGCTCTATATGGTTCTCGTCAGCAATTAATTTACTCTTTCTACGAGAAAAATATTCAGTGATGCATTACATGCTTTGTCATGAGTAAACTTGCTCATAACTTAAGCCTCGAGTTTCTGGTTTGAGGGCAAAAGACGCGTAAAGACCGTGGATATTGCGCTGTAATGGAAGGGAGAAGAAGTGCTGTGACCACGCAGGGTCTCATTTGTAGTTTCTATTTGTTGGTGTCCATCATTAGTGAGTTGCTGGGCCGCTGTGGGCGTCCACTCGCCGTCCTTAGGTTCATCATTAGGAAGGATGGATGCTGCACAATATAAATGGTCTCCCTCCGTTCGAGAGCATTTACAGGGCACGCCATTATCATACGAACGTATCGCGGCGGGCAAACGCTGCGCGTCTCAGGCCGATGATGGAAGAAATTCTTGACGCTCACGTGAAATATCTCTGAGGCATATTTATATGGGAAGTCAAATATCTTTGAGTTATATTAATATGGGAAGTGAAATATCTTTGAGTCATATTTATATGGAAAGTAAAATATCTATGAGGCATATTTATATGGGAAGTAAAATATCTATGAGGCATATTATATGGGAAGTGAAATATATTTGAGTCATATTGATATGGGAAGTTTAGCGTGAATATTAACGTGAATATTTTCCAGCAGGTTTGTGATAAATAAGGCTAGCAATGTTTTGGTCAATTTACACTTTTATAGGAACATTTATTTCGTGCAATAAATCAAGACAACCTCAATGTTAACTGAAGAAGATTTTCCTGTGTCTGTTCCTAGGCATTATTTCCTTACTTCATAAACATGGAACTTGCGATGATATTTGTTCCGTCCATGTTGTGCTATTTGTTCCGTCCATCTTGTGCTATTTGTTCCGTCCATGTTGTGCTATTTGTTTCGTCCATGTTGTGCTATTTGTTNAGCGTATGTGTGACTTGGTACAAGTCTTGTGTGGTGACTGCGTGTGACAGCGTCTAAGCGTATGTGTGACTTGGTACAAGTCTTGTGTGGTGACTGCGTGTGACAGCGTCTAAGCGTATGTGTGACTTGGTACAAGTCTTGTGTGGTGACTGCGTGTGACAGCGTCTAAGCGTATGTGTGACTTGGTACAAGTCTTGTGTGGTGACTGCGTGTGACAGCGTCTAAGCGTATGTGTGACTTGGTACAAGTCTTGTGTGGTGACTGCGTGTGACAGCGTCTAAGCGTATGTGTGACTTGGTACAAGTCTTGTGTGGTGACTGCGTGTGACAGCGTCTAAGCGTATGTGTGACTTGGTACAAGTCTTGTGTGGTGACTGCGTGTGACAGCGTCTAAGCGTATGTGTGACTTGGTACAAGTCTTGTGTGGTGACTGCGTGTGACAGCGTCTAAGCGTATGTGTGACTTGGTACAAGTCTTGTGTGGTGACTGCGTGTGACAGCGTCTAAGCGTATGTGTGACGTGGTACAAGTCTTGTGTGGTGACTGCGTGTGACAGCGTCTAAGCGTATGTGTGACTTGGTACAAGTCTTGTGTGGTGACTGCGTGTGACAGCGTCTAAGCGTATGTGTGACTTGGTACAAGTCTTGTGTGGTGACTGCGTGTGACAAGGTCTAAGCGTATGTGTGACTTGGTACAAGTCTTGTGTGGTGACTGCGTGTGACAGCGTCTAAGCGTATGCGTGTGACTTGGTACAAGTCTTGTGTGGTGACTGCGTGTGACAGCGTCTAAGCGTATGTGTGACTTGGTACAAGTCATGTGTCCACACAAAGCTCGGCAACGCGCTGCCAGTTCGAGCGTAGGCCCCAGTCTCCATGACTGCCGCTTCATCTCTCACAGGAAATGACGAGTGTAAACCTGGGCTCATCTCAAGGCTCTAATTGTGCTAAGTGAAACACCGCACAGCCTTTCCTTGAAATCCGTTCCGTCATTCGTCACGCTCGTTCATCAATTGCGTGAATTCGTTCGTTACGACGATGGACGAATCATCTATCACAATTTAGGATGATTTAATCCCTAATTACTGCGGATTAATAAGAAAATTGTTAGAATTTCTCGCCATATTCCTTGTATGTGAATAGTGCATGTTGCCTCAATAAAAACTTACTCAATAAAAACTACAATAAACTCAATAAAAACAGTCATTACTGTTTCCTTGATATAAACAGAGTTTCATTGCTGTTTCCTAAATAAAGCCTTACCGTCATCCATGTTCCCTCAATGAACACTTACTTCCAAAATTTTTTCCTTACCCTTACAAAACTTTACAACATCATCACTGTTTCCTCAATAAAAACAAACTTCCTTCACTGTCTCTTAAATAAAACCTCACATTCATCACTGTTTCCTCACTAAAAGCAAACATTCTTCACCGCCTCCTGAACAAAAGTGTTGTGTTGCAGGCACCCCCCGGCTGACCGGCACCGGCACCATCTCCGTGCTGGTGCGGGATGAGAACGACCACAGTCCGCAGTTCCTGAAGCCGGAGTACACCGCCGTCGTGAGCGAGTCCGTACCGCCGGACACTGCGATCATCGCCCTCACGGCCACCGACAGCGATTATGGCATTAATGCTAAGATAAGGTACTTCTAAGATCTCTTTATTGCTCGCATCGAGAATTTGCAATGAAGTTGAAAACAAAGAACATGGCTCAGAAATTCATTATATGTTTTTTAACGAAATGTGGACTCCTAAACGTTTCATTTGTAGTGATATGGTGAATTTCTGTGTCATCTTCTTTGTTTTTACTTTAACTTTTAAAGTTACGTCTCCTGATACTTATTGCAATAATCTCATCCTAGGATATTTCGCTCAGCGCCTACACTTTTCAAATCAAAATGTCAATCCTATAACAAATGCTGACCGTTGTATTAAGAAACAAGGGTATTTTTTCAATGAGCCGGACCCAAAGAGTTATCTATGTAGTTATCTTTTTAACTTTTAAGTTTGTTACAAATGTTTTCGTTAAATGAAGAAATGAAATGTCGTTCGAAGTAATAGTTATATAATGGTTCTTAAATAGGTTATGCGCAAAGTCCACTTGCGCCAACCATTAATAGAACGAACAAATTCGCACAGTTACTTTTTTTTTGCTGAAATACTCTTCTCTTCTCTCTTACTGACCAGAAACTGGTTATAGTCTCTCATTATATTTTAATGATGAATGTATGCGATAGGTTGTGTTAATTGGGGCATTTGTGTAACTATTCATTCACGCGAGATTTATTCAGGGGTTAAGTCACGACCTTGATCAATTAATTATATACTATTTTACTCTTTGAATGAAATAAAATACTATGTATTTGAAAATATTTCGTCCGAAATTAATTACTAGACAAGAGGAGCACATTTTTTACTTAACGTAAACAAATTGAAAATTTTTCACGACCATTCAGAAAGTTTCAAGCAAAACTTTCCGTTTGCACTTCAAATATTTTAAAATAACATTTCCTAAAATCTTCAATCATTCCACGGAATTTATTCATTCATCGTATCAGAATTTTTTAACTGACTTACGTGTGTTTGCTGGCAGATATTCGCTGGTGGGGGGCGCTGCAGGCTCGGACGTGTTCAGGGTGGACCCTGAGAACGGCGTGGTGACAACCCTGGCCCCTCTGGACCGAGAGGACGTGCAGGAATACGTCATCCTGGTCGAGGCCAAGGACTCATCCTTGACAGATCCTCGGTCTGCCACCACTCAGGTACGTCTTAAATTCATAACTGCATGTGGATCCAATGTACAAGTTTCTGTCACAGATGCTTCATCGGTTTCTAACATCGATGCCTCATTGGTTTGTAACATTGAGGCCTCAGTGGTTTCTGGTTTTGATCAGGCAACATTCGGGCAACAGTGAAGACTAAGGATGAAATTTTTTAAGCACAGAATTTTGGTTTTCTTGCTGGCGAGTAGATTTTCTTCACTCCCGCTTCACTATGTTGGATAATGTGGATTTTCAGTGCCTTGGGATCCAGAGCATCCGCTTACAGTGATTCATAAAATATTTAACTGCATTCAAAAACATGTTATGTTATCGCTGTTCGGTTTCTAAAACACATCGGTATTTTAAAGATTAGCAAATCGGATGATAGCGAGATGATTTACAGAAAGTTTGGACTGAACCTTCGGAACCTTCGTCACATTAATGTTTCTTCTATGCGTGATTTATTAGTTATTAGATCAGAATTATGCCATGCACTATTTTAGCAATTATTGTACTAAAAGTTTCCAAGTGGTTTGGCTTGAGAATGCCTTTAACGTCTTTTCTCTTTCTACAGCTAACGGTCACGCTGCTAGACGAGAACGACAACGCGCCTGCGTTCAGCCAAGAGTATTACGTTATATACGTTGCCGACCCAACTCCAGCAGGTATGAAAGGATTCATCTCTATTATTTACCTATTTATTACTCATTAACTGAAATATGTTTGTGTGAAGCAGAAGCATTTAATTAATTATTCAAAGTTTGAAATTCCCATTTTTGAATTATCTGAGGTTTTTGCCAAAAAAAGTCATTTCAACATAGGTCTGAACAAAAAAGTTTTCTTTTTTGCAAATAAATCTGTAAACGCTGTAAAAGTATAATCTCTGACAAGGGTTAGAGTTGAAAATTGCATACATGTTGCACTGAAACAACTAAATCTCAATTCAATTTACAGGGAGCTTTGTGTTTGGTCAAGCTGCAGTTGACACGGACGCGGGAGTGAACGGAAGAATCACGTATTTTCTTTCTGGCCCGGACGCTGACAAATTCTCCATGAAGCAAGAGACCGGCGTCATCAAAGCCGCCACTACCTTGACAGGCCGGGAACTGTACGAGTTAGAGATCCATGCTTCCGACTCGGGCTCTCCTCCATTGTCGTCTGAGGCCAAGTTGAAAATTTATCTGAAGCCTGCGAGTCTCTTTCCGGAGTTCAAGAAACAGGAAACTTCTTTCAGCTTTAGCGAGTCAGAAAGAGGAAATTTGATCACAACTTTGTCTGCGACGTCTCCCAAACTTGGTCCTCTGGGCAGAGTTCACTATGATATTGCTGGCGGAAATATTGGACAGGCGTTTGAAGTTCACGAACAGCTCGGCGAAATTCGCATCTCTCGAACAGGTCTTGACTACGAAACGTTGCCCCAATACGAGTTGTGGGTTTCAGCCCGTGACTCCGACGATCCTCCTTTAGCATCAGCTACTCATATTGTGGTTAACGTCAGCGATTATAACGACAATCCCCCGGTTTTCGATCATTCTCTGTACAATGCATCGATCATCGAGGATTTATTTCCAGCGCAACTTATTGCTAGAGTCCGCGCCACCGACCGCGATTCTAACGAAAACTCCCAAATTTCTTACCATCTCCGTAAGGATTCCTCTGATGCTGATGCATTTAAATTGAATTCTGAAACTGGAGAAATATTTACGAAAATAAAATTGGACCGAGAAAGAATTGGCATGTATTCTCTCGTTGTCGAGGCTGTTGACAAAGGAACTCCTCCACTGACAGGGACTGCAATGGTGCAGGTGACAGTGGAAGATAAAAATGACAATCCCCCTCGGTTTACGCGACTGTTCAGTGTGAACGTTACAGAAAATGCTCAAGTTGGAACTTTCGTCATACAAGTCACTTCAAGTGATCGAGATATTGGCGAAAATGCTAACGCTACTTACAGTTTCACGGTGAATCCAGATGATAAATTCCATATTGATCCTGTGAGCGGGAATGTTACAGTAGCGTCAGCTATAGACAGAGAAGTCCGCGATGAATATTTGTTGAAAGTCTCGGCCTTCGATGGATCGTGGAGAGCTGAAACTCCGCTAACAATCATCGTTCAGGACGAAAACGATAACTCGCCTGTTTTCGAAAGAGATCATTACAAATTTAATTTCCCTGAGCTTCAGAGATCTGTGGCATTTGTTGGACAAGTGTCGGCGACTGACAGGGATAAGCCTGGTCCAAATAGCGCCATCACGTACAGTCTCAAATTTCCGAATGAATTCTTCAGTGTGGACCCTACAAGTGGCGAGCTTCTGTCCAAACAATCCTTGAAGTATAGACACACGCTGAGAGGTCCTTCTCCTGAAAATCAGTACCAGTTGGTTGTAATTGCCACAGATAATGGGAAACCTCCGATGTCATCGCAGGCTTCTGTCTTAATCAACGTTGTGGATGCAAACAATAACATCCCTAGTTTCACTAAGGATCGCTATTTCTCACCAGTTCTTGAAACAGCAGAAGTCGGTCAGAAAGTAATTCAAGTTGAGGCAGTTGACGAACACGATTTCGGTATAAATGCTGAGATCGAATACGAGAAAGTTGGCGGGAATGGAACTGATTACTTCTCTCTGGATCCACAATCTGGTTTCATCAGCGTCGCTAAGTCGCTGGAAGGAAAGATTGCCATGAGGTTCGCATTGTTGGTTCGCGCTCGAGACAAGGGAGTTCCTCCGAGACAAGACGATGTTGTTGTTGTTCTTGAGGTTACGGATAAAAATCAACATACGCCTCAGTTCACGGCGCTCAGCTATCAGGTGATGGTGGCCGAAAATGAGAAAATTGGAGCTACGATTATTAAAGTAGCGGCCACTGATGGCGACGAAGGAGTCAATGGCAAAGTCAAGTTTGAAATAACAAGTGGGAATGAAGCTGGAAGATTCAAAATAGACGGTAACACAGGAGCAGTGATGGTGAAGGAACTTTTGGATTATGACACACTTCAGCTGTACACGTTGAACATTTCTGTTCAGGATTTGGCTTTTCATCCTTTTTATGCTACTGCTTTGCTGACGATCAAACTGGCTGATGTCAACGATAACCCACCATTGTTCAAGCAAGAAAATTACGCTGCATCAATACCGGAAAATTCTGATGTTGGTACTTCAGTATTCAAGCTTGAAGCAACTGATATTGATTCTGGGCAAAACGCAGTGATTGAATACAAAATTGTGGGAGGTGACGGCAGAGACGTTTTTGCGGTCAATCCTGAAACTGGAATAATAGTTTCTAAAAAATCTTTCGACTATGAAGAAAAGAATCTGTATGTGTTGCACGTAATGGCTGTGAACCCTGACTCGGTACAAACAAGCTCTGCAAAAGTAGAAGTATACATCACGAGCCGCAACGAGTTCTACCCAAGATTTGTTCAGCCAGTTTTTCAGTTCACAGTCTCCGAATCTGCGAATATTGGTACATCGCTTGGCTCCATCCAAGCTACTGATGAAGACAAGGGAGCGGATGGAATGGTTTACTATCTGCTCGTAGGTTCCAGCAATGACAGAGGCTTCCTCATCGGACCCAAATCAGGGGAGCTCACTGTCGCTCGCAACTTGGACCGCGAGAGCCAAAATCGAGTAGTTCTCACGGTCATGGCCAAGAATGCCGGCAGTATTAAGGGAAATGATACCGACGAGGCCCAAATTATAATTTCCATTCAAGACGGTAACGATCCACCTGTATTTTCTCAAGCTTACTATGAAACCTCATTAAGTGAAGGAGTACTGGTTGGGACCGTTGTCCTCACCGTCACTGCTGTAGATTCAGACGTGCGAGAACAAAACAATCAATTTACTTATTCCATCATTGGAGGCAATCTTGGCAACGCATTTAAAGTGGATCCCCAGACAGGTGTCGTAGAAACGACCTCGCAGCTAGACAGGGAAGCTGTGCCTGTCTACAATCTCACGATTGGTGCCATTGATAACGGAACGCCAACACAAACTGGCACCACTCTGGTGAAGGTCATCCTCGAAGACGTCAACGATAACGGACCGCAGTTTAACCCACCCGAAATAGTAGGCTACGTTTCCGAAAATGAACCTGCAATGACATCGGTGATGACTTTGAGTGCAACTGATCCTGATCTGCCTCCAAACACAATGCCTTTCACATACCAGATCGTTGGAGGAGAACATCGAGAGTTCTTCTCCGTCGACGGCAAAACTGGGGAGGTCAAAACCACTCGCAGCATCGACAGAGAGACAACTCCGGTTTTGAATTTCCGCATTGAAGTCGAGGACAGCGGTAAGCCTAAAATGAAATCCGAACATGAAGTAACAATTAATGTCCTGGATAAAAATGATTCACCTTCCACATCTCGTCTAGTGAAAGTCACTGTCCTTACTTTTCGAGGAAACTTCCCTGGTGGTAACATCGCTGACGCACACCCCAACGATCCTGACAGTGATGGCAAGTACACCTGTCGTATTCTCGAAGCAGATTCATCTATTTTCTCTATTCCTAACGCTTGTAATCTGCACGTGGCAAAAATTAATCCAGACAAAACTTACTCCCTGACTGTCAGTGGCAATGATGGGCGACACAACGATGTAACGTCAACGGTCGATATAGAATTTAGTGAATTTGATAATGCAACTCTGGATAATAGCATCACTCTCCGTGTTCTGAATGTGACATCACAACGATTTTTATTGCTCTACTACCAGCCTTTCAAAGAGTCAATTGAAGAAGTCTTCGCCTCTCATCCAATCGAGATCACGTCAATGCTGCAAAGAGAGTCTCACACAGACTTGACCCTAAGTGTTTTGCATTCATCCGACAATGGGTATCTAGAACCATTCGAAATAACTAATAAACTATCAGTCGACAAGGATAAAATTGTTAAAGCTCTTCAGGGGCTAAAAGTCATCATTAATTACAATCCATGCGATGAATCACCGTGCCAAAATGAGGGTGTCTGCTCGCACGGAATTTTTGCGTACGAAGAAACAGAAACAGTCGACTCGCCGAGCGTGGTATTCACTGCACCACTGGTCCGGCATGACGCATCGTGTGAGTGTAAGCAAGGCTTCACTGGAGCATTCTGTGAACTACGACAAGACCCATGCGCTCCAAACCCGTGCCAAGCTGGCGGCACGTGCGGGAGAAAAGGTTTCAATTTTATTTGTGCTTGTCCGCCAACTCGGCAAGGACAGCAGTGCGAGTTTGATAAAATGAATGCTTGTGACAACAATCCTTGCAGGAATGGTGGATCCTGCCAGACAACTCTTGAAGGAGGATTCTTCTGCTTGTGTAGACCGGGTTATCGGGGAATGCAGTGTGAGTTGGTCACAGAATCTTGCAAGCCGAACCCTTGTATGAACGGAGGCTCTTGTATTTCTCTCAAGCCCGATTATCGGTGCTCATGTCAAACCAACTTTTACGGATTGCATTGTGAGAAATCCACTTTCGGTTTCCGGGATTTATCCTACATGACTTTCCCTACTCTGGACGCCACCACCAATGACATTTCTCTCACCTTCTCGACCAACAAGCATGATGCGCTCCTCGTTTATAACTACGGCGTTCAGACTGGAGGCAGATCCGATTTCGTGGCAATCGAACTAAGCGGAGGACGACCACGATTTAGCTATGGCGGGGCCCGCACTGCCATCACCTCGATCAGCGTCAACAAGAAAGTGACAGACGGAGGCTGGTATCGGGTGACTGCGACGCGTAACGGACGGGTGGTGTCGCTCAGCGTCGCCTCGTGCTCCAAAAGTGGGGAAGTTTGCAAGGATTGTGGGCCTGGCGACTCTTCCTGCTCAGCTGATGACACTGGACCCACCGGGTAAGGAACATTGTCAGTGGTAGAATTCGAAATAAGGAATTCATTAGAATAATATTGGTAAATTGAACCGATGGTCATTATTCGTACCTTCAAATCTAAAGGCGAAATTTGAACGCATCAACTAAAGGTTACCAAAATGTGCATGTAAACATGTACGACTGCACGAATTATTAAACACTTTGTTAACGCAGTCGTTAACCGTCGTCAGAGCTATTAGTACATATTAGTATTTGATAACAATACTTACAATTACTAGATGAAGGTATCAGAATTGATATGTACAAATGGTAATAGGAACTGTGCCCTAGTCTCTAAAATTAATTAAAACTACTTCTTCAGCACGCTGAACTTCAACAACGAGCCCATGTACATGGGCGGGGTGATGACCGTGGACCCCATACAGGAGAGGCCTGGCCAGGTCTTGTCTGATGACTTCGTCGGTTGCCTGCACGGCGCGTCCATCAACGGCCGACCTCTTAACCTGTCGGCCTCCATCCAGGTGCGTCTTTTGTTTTCATATTAAAAGATACACGTCTAAGTATTCGTGCATGAATTCATAATTATTTATACGATTGATCTTTAGCATTTTAGCCCAGGTTCAGTTTGTTGAATTATTCTTCTTTTTTTCCGCACAGTCAAGGGGCATCACCGACGTCTGCGAGAGACGCCCAAATGTTTGCGCTGGAAGCCCCTGCGGAGAAGGTGGCGTTTGCATTGACCGATGGTCAACGCATATGTGCATTTGTCCTAACGGGCTCATGGCGAAGAATTGTGAGTCGTCCCTGCACCCAGCCTCTTTCGACGGCAATTCTTATATTGAATTCTTAATAACAGAGCAACACCGACGACGACAGCTGCTGCCCTGGCTGTATCATCGAATCTCTGGCAACAATCCTGCAGTCAATGGACTCCGAAATCGCATCAGTCGCCAGTTGGCATCAGCACCAGCAAAAAGCCTGAGTTTTCGGTTCCGAACATTGGTTGACAATGGAGTTCTGGTATATGCCGCAACAAATAACGATTACACCATGGTCGTTATAAGAGACCAGTTCTTAGAGTACACATCCAAACTGGGAGCGAACCCGCCTGTCAACATGACCATTGTGGATGTTCCCGTAAGTGACGGGGAATGGCACAACCTGACGCTGCTCTCAGCCCACGGCGTTCTGCAGCTTGCTTTAGACGAGGCTGATGTTGGAGAGGCACTCGAGCTGCCTTTGGTCCATGATTTTCTGGACGCCTACTTGACATCTATAACTGTCGGTGCTGCTCCTCCTCACTTCGCTGACGACGAAAATCGACCTCCAGGTTTGTCCTGATGAAACCGGAACCTAAAACAAACATTTATGGTGTGAAATCAAAATAAATTTTGTTCTGTAACGACAATGAACGCTATTTATGAACTAATCTGCTCCTTTACGTTGAATTTATGATTTTTAACTAATTATCATTCCAGGTTTCATCGGATGCATTGCTGCTCTAGCTGTGGACGGAGAAGTCCAGCCTTTCAACTCAACTGGAACGCTTCTCCAGGGTCGGCCTAAAGGCGCTTCTATCGTGCCCGAGTGTGTCGGAGCTCTTCTTGGACCTGCTACGGCAACAGATCCGCTCTCCATTGGCATAACTCTTGTAATAATTTTCTTCGTATTACTTCTGGTAGCCATCATGGTTTCTTTCATCGTGTATAGAGTCAGGAAACAAAGAAAGGAAAAGAACTCAGGACATGTGAAACAAAATGGTTCTGCTCTCCTGGCGAACACGTCAACGGACTCGGGCCGTTCACCCCAAGACTCTGGATACGCTGAAAGTGCTGAAATGACTGACGATGTCCTACGATCTCATCTATCACAAGAACTTGCTACCAAGAAATACAAAGACAGGGACCATGATAGACCCCAAAGGCCAGACATAATAGAGCGAGAAATAATGAACAAGAGTCCCGGAGTTCCACTAAGAGTCGAAGAAGCGACAATGCCTGACCGTGACAACATGACTGGTCACAGCAACATGCCTGATGAAGTGCCAGAACATTACGACCTGGAGAATGCATCTTCGATTGCCCCCTCTGACATCGATATTGTTTATCATTACAAAGGCTACCGTGATGGTAATATACGAAAGTATAAGACCAATCCCCATGTACCTGGTTACCACAAACATAGTCACCGACATTCCCCTCACAATTTCCCCAACACTCCCCACCGCGAGAGTCCAAGAAATATTTTGCGCCAGAGCCCCAATCCCGTCCCCCCTCGAGAGTCTCCATCGGTTTTGAAAATGCAGTCCACACCTCTAGCGCGGCTGTCGCCATCTTCCGAACTGTCTCAGCAAACTCCACGTATTTTAACTTTACAGGATTTAAGCGGTAAACCTTTACAATCAGCTCTATTAGGCGCGTCTCAGGGCCCTGGAGTGAAGGATGTTTTATCCAACAGTGAGCGCTCCCTTAATTCTCCTGTATCCCACATGTCACAGTCTTCGGGTTCCATGCACGCTTCATCACAAGCTACCAAGAAGAAGAAGCATGAGAGTACCGTAAATATGGGTTTATCTTCAGACGAGATTGATAGACTTAACCATAGGCCAAGAAATTCTTCGCTGGTCTCTACTTTAGATGCTGTTTCGTCTTCTAGTGAAGACAACCGACGCAACGATAAGATTGCTGAACTTCTGGAGACCAATACGGAACTTTTGGAAGCACCTGATTCATCGACAGATGAATCTGGTAACGACTCATTTACTTGTTCCGAGTTCGAGTACGAAAACAATTATGAGAAAGTTACCCGTGACTTTGGCCCCGGCAACATGATTTTCAGTAAATTGGCTGAGGTAGACAATGAGAACGAACATGACAATGAGTCCTCGAAAAACTACGATGGATTTGATTCGTTCCGAGGTTCTTTGAGTACGCTGGTGGCTTCTGACGATGACTTGAGCAACATGAGCTCCTACAAGCCTCCCAATGGCTCATCTTTCGGATGGGATTACCTCCTAAACTGGGGTCCCAATTTTGAGAGCCTGGTCGGGGTGTTTAGAGACATCGCCGAGCTGCCAGACAACACAGCCAACGGACGCGTCAGCGCCCGAGGCACGCCAAAGCCTACCGAAGAATATGTATAGTGAACCTTATGAAATAACTTGCAATTAAGTGGTAAAAAACTCGTAAGTCTTGTAAATTGAGATAGTTGTGCCAAATAAGATGAAAGTAATAAGGAAAGTGCCGGTGTTTCATCTTCTAGAAACTGGTAGTACTGCAACACGAAGCATGAAACCTTGTGATAGTGGCATTAAAACTAGTCACTGAAGCTCTCATTTTCAGTGACTTATGTAGGAATTATTGTTGTTGTTAATATTTTTATGTTAGATACGTTCAACCATTCTTTATATATAAAGTCGTACAGCCTTCTGCCTTGTAAATAACTATTCACTCCACGTGAAGCTTTTTCGTGTAAAATGTTTCAAGAGTCGTTGCTGCGAATGTCAGAAAGACTAATTGCCCATGAAACTGAAAGGATGTTATTGAATGTCACAATCATCGCTGATCCTCAGGGTCAAACAATAAATCGAGTTTAAAAACATAAAATTCTCTTGCAGGAGTAAAGAATTTTTGTTTTCGCCCACAACTGAGACTGCTACTTCCTTCTTATCGTTTACGCATGTGCAATCCATTATTTTATTTTTTACATCATTAATTGGGAAATTGCAAATTTGTTCACAACAATTTAGCAAATTCAAAAGAGAGAATATCAAACTATGTCTTCACTCAAGATAAAATTCTGGCTTAATAATATGCTTGTTAAGCGAACGCCTCAAATTACTATACCGTCCATTTATGCTACGTTGTGGTCAGCGGGCCACTGTGTCGCAGTAAAGAATAAAGACCAGAGATTAAAATATTGATGTTTCAATTTTTATAAATTAATTCAATTTTATTATCGCTATTGTGGATTGTAGAAGCTTATATTCAAGCCCACTCAACTGTTTCAAATTGCATTTATTTTCACCGGATTTTTTACATGTTGTGTTCAGGTTGGTGAAAATTATTGTATTTGAATTAAGATATACGCAGTCGCAGTGTTATTACGTCATGTATAATTTTAAATAACTACAACTCTACTCGAAGACAGGAGTTCCATCTAAGAGATGATTTTAGTATTCAGACGATTTATTATTCAAATTGTTAGGTTGCATGTGGTCCTGCAAAGAAGTGTAAATGTGCGTTGCAAAAACACATGAAAAAACCAAGCCAACGACCATAATACTCTTTGTGTACATAGTAGAATTCTTGTGTATATATATTAGTAATTAGCTACTCAACGTGTGCCAAGCATTTAGCGTATTTCCCGACGATGTAAGAGCACTACTTACGCACAGTACATTTGCTCATGAAATTCCTGTTACATCGTAAACGCATAAGTGTCCTGTAGATGTTTCCACAAGGATGCAATATTGAAACGTGCTATGAGATCATGCGTCTTGCAGGCAGACTCTGCACACAACATGCCATGCCGATTGTGTAATCGTGACGTTAAAAGTTCGTACTTTTTGGTGCTATTTTGCGCAAAACGCGTTTTTTATGAATATTTCGGTTGTTGATTCACTGTTAACCCTTGACGGCTCAGGTGTACCGTATATGGTCGTCTTTCAAACATACTCAGTTATAGTAATGTTGTTATCAGGAATTGCCGCTAGATCGAAACATTTTCTTTTTCCAATGATCAACTCCTAACTTACTACACTTACATGTATCTTCAACCTACTCAATCACCTTAAGAAAAAGAAACTATTGAAAAAAAATTTTCAGGTTAAAATAAATGTGGGCCGTAAGGGGTTAATGGTTAATTAATTTTTTTTTCTTGATTAAATGTTGATTTTGTAGGTAACTACTGTTTACTATTTTGGCTTGCAAGCGCTGCATATTGTTGAACAGGTGACGGTCGTTGGACTTGAAACTTTTCCTTGGTTGGATGATTGTACTGGAGTTATGTGATTTGTAAATAGTTGCCTCTCGTAAGTAAAACATCCAGAATACAAGTGCTTTTCAGTCGGTCCTTCAAGCCATTAGGTATTCCTGGTTCATCCAAAGAGTTGTTCAAGGTTTTATATAATGAGCTTTATTTTTCATTTCAAGTGTTAAAAGTAAAAGAAAAGAATGAATTGCGACCCTCATGGATTCGTATGTTTCATACAACAAACAGTAAATAGTATTTTATTCTCTTAATTGTTACACGAAATCTGATTTTCATAGCTTATCCAAGCCCACGGAGCTGTTTTTAATTGCATTCCATTTCATTTTTTCTCTCATTCGGCTTTATCGTCCGTTTTCGAGGCAATTTTTCAGTCTGGTTCACCCCGACGAAGAAGTTGCTGCTTGCTCGTGCCCAAAGAAACTGATTAAAATTCATGCTGAATCTACCAAGATGAATCCATTTCATATAATAATCTATATACTATGTTGATGACTAATCAACATGTATCGCTCATTCTCAGCATGTCTTTGTCTGATTACGTGGAAAGACCGCTCCTCGCTTCCGCTGCCCCGGAGCGGAAATCGATGTGGTGGCCATCATTCACCTGCCCGCACTGTTTGCTTAGAGGCACTTCAAGCCTGGCACTCGCAGAGGGCATTTGGCAGTGCCTCGGGAGCGGCGGTATCCTGCTTGGTAGCAAGACGTGGCGCTCGAGGTGTTGGAGTCGGGACCGTTGTTTCACTGATACTTGAGGTCATTTTACATGTTCACTGAACATGCAGAGACAGTCGATCTGTTATACACTTTCTGATCTGTGGTACGTGTGCATTGTGATAGTTTGGGTTAAATAATGTGGATGAGAGAGGAACTAGTGAATGCTTCAGATAGTGGCTTTACTCAGATCGACGCCATGAGTCCGGGATTAATCTAATTTCCAGTACAGGCGCGTGATAGAGCGATGGCAGTGAAGGGATGTGAGTGAACAGATTTCATGGAATGAAAAACTTCTTCTAATAATGAATGTAAACCTCTAATGATTATTTCTTTTGATTTGATAATTCTCTTTGTTAAATAAATCCGCACTACCATTAATTAATTAACAGCATTATGAGGGGCGGTGATCAGTGGATAAGGAAGAACCGTTATGAGCGCCTTGCAGTAGTGCATAAAGCAATCTGTTAATTGATGGTTATACTCTGCTCCTTTATGCTCATGTGCATTAGAAAATATAACTTACGACGGATCTGTATGAATTCTGAATTTTCACAGATCAAAACTTATCGTATTGAACTCCAAACATTCAACAAATAATTTGTTTCCATCGGATAATTTTTGGTCAAAATACTTTTGAAATTTACTCGATACTTAAGTAAACTCGCCACATACTAAAGCCCTTCCGATATTAGAAGTCATCAAAACATTGCAGTCACTCAGTGTGCTACGCTCAAGACAGCGCCAACGCCAAGCCAGTGGGAGGAAATGTCTGCAAAGCCCACTACATGCTGGACGACTTCAAATCAAGTCGCGCCGTCTGAATATTCAAGGTGCGTGCAGCTGATTAAATGCGTTGACGGTGCAGAATGCTTACTTAGTATTTTGCAGCTTACAGACTGCGTCACAGCGCGAATTTTTAACCTAGATGGATAAGTTTTTATCTCAAGTATAGTATCTTCGGCATTGAGAAATAGGCCTGGATAGGCCTGCACGGAGGGTCTTAAGCACGGAGGAGAAGGTGAAATTGTTCCACTTCGTTACGATGAATTATTATTCTACGTCATTTACACGTCACATGTGTTAGACGGACAACGTCACTCATCCAGATAAAATATTCATGTAACTCGCACGCCACATGAAGAGATCGTACAGACGTTAACATCGATTACATAGTAGCTTGTGCTGAACATTCACAGAACTGCCGCTGTCTTCTCGATGGGAGTAATAATTTAGTAGAAAAAATTCACGATTCCCAAACGTGCTCCTGTTCTCACTAACTGCAGCCATTTTTTATCATTCTTGATTTTGAAACAAAGAGTCTTTTCATTATGGAGAAGTTTTGTTATTCAATGCTCAGATGACACCAATGATAAGTCAAGGCTTCCGCAAAATTAAAACTCTAATTATTTACGATGAACTAAGAATTATATATAAATTCGAATTTAATTGGTTAGTTGGTACATGTATCCGGAAGGAACAACTACTTTCATTTGTTAGGATATCAACTCAAATATGGAAGTTCTTACTACTTTCGATGGAAATACACGGGATGATTTCATGTAATCCAGCGGAGAGCTAAGAAGTTGGAAATTGCAGCTGAGGTTAAGAATAAGAAAAAGCGTAATTGGTTTAAGAAATCTCTGTGCTTATGACACGTACTTAAATGAACAATATTATATTTAATGATTCGAAATTATTGCGGCACAAAATTAAAAATTCACAATTCATAGGATAACCTTTAAACAACTAGACGCTATTCGATCACAGCAGAAATAAGCAGTCACATCGGCCCGTCGAGAATTTTAGGTCTGTTTCAATTTATGAATTCAAATTCAAGATGAATTTCAATTTCTCCCGATGATTATTTCCATTGCTAACATTCTATATTATTGCCGCTGGCTCAACTTTGAAGTGGGGCGATATAGCTGTTCAGGGTATAAAGGTGTTATAGGGCGCAATTACACGAAAAATAAAATAATAAGCAGTCCGATGCAAAGTTAATAAAAAAGGTTAAAGCGTTAAAACTTTAAACGTTGAAATACTAAATTATTAATTCGTCGCAAACAGCTTAAAAGTTGTACCAGAAGCGAAGTAGAATGCACTAATTTGACATATTAAGGGACCTTAACATGCAAATAATTCAAATAATTAGTGTAAATGATACGAACTTAGGTTGCGGTGCTGTACGTCGTGCTTAGCTAGTGTCATTTTCATCTCGAATCAAATCTTCTGGTACTCAATACTTCACGCCACTCTTCGAAATTAACCAGTGAACTAAACTTTATGTTCTAGATCTCTGTTGACTTAAAACGAAACACAAACTTCTTATACATTATTATTGTGATACACAAGCAAAATAATCGGGCTAGTCCCTGCAGTCCATTGTCTCCCTGAAAACAAACATGGCAGAGATGTTCCCCCTCTACAAAAATCATCAGCTTTGTAGTAGGACTGTTAATTATAAAGACTCTCTGTCTTGTGAGAAGACGTCTGGACCTGTGGTAACGTAAACACGTACCGTTTTTCGTAACATCAATACCGTTTCCTGCAAATTGAAGCAACGTATCAATCTCATGCTTGGTCCAGTGATGAAGATGCACATGCCAGCGTTCGATGGACGTAATTTCACGTCTTTGGAACCCAAATGAACATCGATGAAGAGCTTTTTTCAATATTAATGGCATTCTTGTCACTTGTATATTCAGTAGCTTTTGAAAGAGACAAAATAAACGACAATGCTGAGCCTTTTTCGCTGATGACATTCATTCCGCTGCAAAAAATATGCAGTAGCTGCGATAAAATGAGGAATGAGAACAACACTGACAGGCATTTTTCGCTTTGCTGCTTTTAAATTGATGAATGAATAGTAACGAATAAGCAACGAAAACGACAAGTAGGCGGCAATGCATTATTTAAACATCATTACATTGTACACCATTTCACTGGACACAATAACAATGTACCTCATTACACAATACATCGTCACTCACACTGTACCTCATTACACAATATATCTTCACACGTGCTGTACCTCATTACGTAATGCGTCAACATTCTGTACACTATTACCCTGTCGAACCATTTCCGAGCAACATGTCGCCTGCACATTATATGCCCTTTTGATGGGGGACAAAAACCCATACAATTATCAATCGCGAAATAATACTTGTATTTAAGAAATTATTGATATTTTCTGAGATTGCAGGCGTGTCGTTTGTCTTGTAACATGAGAAAATTTACTGTAGAAACTGCAAGACCAAAAAACTGATGCACCCCCAAAATATTTCGTGAGGAATATCCGCTTTTCATTCAGATTTTTATGCTTACGTAAATGTTACCGCCAGATTCGAACAAATTTAATTTGATCACCGGTGATTATTTTGATCCCTTTTGAAGAGGTTGATGGCTGAAATAAAGTAAATCATGATTCAGGTAATTCCACACAACATGTCTCTATGCGAGATTCTGACGAACCTTTTTGTCACATTTCAAAATTAGAGGTTTTCGAGCGGAAATCCTCACATTTTTAACCAGAGAAAAAATATTTCATTGGAATTTCATTCCATCTCTTCTCATTAATTTTACAAGGTATTACAGAAAAATAAAAAAAAACGATCTATTTACACATTAAAAATTCCGAGCTCCTTCCTACGATGAGTTGCTGGAGGTCTGCAAGTTTTTGGACGAAGCTGCGAGGTCGACATGTGTGCTATATACCGCCTTGTTGCACGACGCGCTCAGGCTAAGATTGAGAGTAATTCTGTTTCTTTATCTTGAAAGAGCTCCTTACGATCAAATTCCACCATAACTACCTAAAATGATTCTAATTATGCTTGAAAACTTTCATTTTTCTTAACTTTATAGAATAAATGTTCCACCGTGAGCATCCCTCCCTGACATTTAGTCAGGTCTTAACTGCAGCGCATTTTCTCAATTTTCTCTTATGTAATAACAAAAATCATTAATTTCTGTAACTTATATTTTAAGTACTTCACAACCCCAATTTTTTACTTAAAATTAACGTGAGGTAGGAGGTATGTATATCCTATAGGGCAATCAGTGGGTTGGAGGTACGTATCCTTAGGGCTTTGTAAGTGTACGAGGCACGAATCCTCAAGGCAGTATGAAGGTAGGAAATTCCTTTACCCTTAAACAGGCAATAGTGCCTGTTGCAAACAGGAATAGTGCCTTAAGCAGGCAATAGTGCCTGTTTAAAGATAGGAGTAACGTATCCTACGCATCCTCGCGGCAGTCTGAGGTCGCTGAACTTTTCGACACAATAAGCACCTCTCCTCGGAGGCTTAAATTGAGCCCACCAGGTCGATGGGATCGTTCACTTGGTTTCCTTAGGTAAACCCAAGTCATTAAGGCTGGAGCATTCTGCTTCAAGTAGTGACAAACCTTATAGTCTTGAATTTGTATTCAATTCTACAACTATATTTATGATATAGTCACTGTTGCCAACTGTTATTACAGTGATGTATATAATATCATATTAAATATGGAATACTGCTGCTGTGTGTTAGCACTACACACCTACCGTTTAATTATCCAAGGTAGCGGTACTACTCAACAATGACAGGGACAACAATAACTGTTTAGTTTATCAGTTGTACCTCAGCAGGACACAAACGAGCATCAATAATGCCTGCTACTAACAATAAGCGGATACAAATGAGCTCTGGAATAATAGATCGCTCTTCGATTTCTGTCAAGGCTGACCTTGTTTTGCTTGCTTCTGAGGCATAACCGGGCGATGTCCTGACTCAACTTGTAGGCGAGCAAAGAACTGGAAATTTTTAAATAATTTATAATTTATGCTTAAAATAATAAAATTAATAAATATGTATGGTATTATATTTTAAACCTTGCCTAATCATTTCAAAAACTGGGAAGATTGTGAAGTTTAAGTCATTCTGTCGAGGTATCCTGAAACATAGGGAATTCCTGACAAAATTCCAATGTTCGGTCAAAAATTACGTAAAACTTCCATTGATCATTATTATTAGAATAGCGTTGTATAGATAAGATATCGCTCTGCAGTTTGCAATTTTTTTCGGTTCGATTAAATTATAAATGATGAATTAAAATAAAACAGATTCAGATCCGGACTTTCTTACCACCACGATGACAGCCAACGAATAACTGATACAAATGAATCGCACGATGTTGCTTTGTGTTCCGCCACTCGAAGTTTGAAATGTTCTATATACCATCCATTGATCATGTTGAAGAAATTACTGAAGTTTATGTCAGATGATAAAAGCATATTTATTCTCTCAAAAAAATGAAAGGATAATTATCTAGCGATCATAAATAGTTACTAAATAGAAACCATTGTTTAATGTTGAACATTAATTACATTGTATGGTGAATAAATCTCCCACTAATTTAATACATTCATTAATTTGTCATCCGATTTGGAAAAGAGAATTATTCCTTAGAATGTAAATTTCACTAACTTTATTTCTTACACGATGGAAAGGATATGCACAATTGCTTCGAGTTTTTTCACTATGTAGGTATCTTTATTTCATATCACTCCAGCGTCCAGCGGAAGATACATGAAGTAAAGATACCAGACTACTGTACATAAATAATAAGTTCTTATTGATAAGTTCTCAACGGAAGCTGCAATATTTAAATGGCGTATTTTGTATCCTGTCTCACGGTTAAAAAAAATGTCTCATAATTAAAGAATTAGTTATTTAAAGGACAAAGCCTCGCTGAGAAGATCCCTTTTAAAAATAAATGAATTTTCCAGGAACGTTTTCAGAATTCGTGCATAGCTTCATAAGGTATTAATACGCTTTGCATTCTGCGAACTTATAGCCAACCTTTTCCTCACAGCGTTACTTAAGATCTGTTCCGTGAACGGTCAGGTTACGTTCGGATTGACCTCTGTTCATTTAAGAACAAATGACTCACTCCTTTACTAAGAGTTGCAAGAAATCGGTGCAGCTTGGCTAATCACAATATCCGGGAAGCGAGTTTACCGTTTATTGAAGAGCCAGCAAGATTACCCAACGCGTAGCAGCGCTCTGTTCTCCACGCTAAGCTTCCGGTTTCGTCGCCGGTGATCTTTTGACCGGTTGCTTTAGTGAAAACAATTAAATTCAAGAGAATATTTCTTCTATGGAAATCCCAGTGATAGGGTCTAAGTTTTTACCGGCACTAGAATTTGAAGATGTATGTGGAATGTTAAATCTGTTGAAAGTTCACAGTGATTTTGACTACTGAAGCATAACTCGAACCTGGAATAGTGGAGGAACCTTATGTAAAAAACTTGCACTTCAAATACATTGAAATTTTCGTGCGTTTAACAATTCAATGGTATTAACATGAAATTACTTTAGCACAGCTTTAAATAAAAATTTACACTGATTCACGTCAGTAGCCTATGCATGCTCATCGATGAACCTATACTGAGTTTAAAAGTACTTTCTTAGATTTCAAGAGCAATTTCTCAACTCAAACTTATTATGTTGAAATATTACTGCAGAGCAGAAATCTTTCACTACTAGACCACGAATAGGCAATTAAATTTATGTAAACATTATCATTGAAAACCGAGACGCGCAGGTCGTACGAAGTTTGACAGCTTTTTCCGTGAGCTTGTGGTGAGCTTGTGGGGCCTAAACCAATTATGGACGACCAGTAATTTCCGCAAACATCGTTTTTTTTCCATACTTATGAAGGGAATTGTTCAGTTGGCTGCATGCCGCTGTCAGCGCTGTGTCAATAATAGAAACGGATTAAAACCACGATGTGGTAATGTTGTAGAAAAGTTTCCATTGTTGGACATTTCATTTTATTGAATTTATTAATGAAAGAATTTAAGCTGAACATCAGCACATACTTTTTACTAACCGTCAATTTCATTGAATGAAGAACGTTCACTATAGAACTAACCTAACTATACAACTGTGTCTGTAGGCATGTCTCACCTATGGAACTAAACATAACTAATTGACTGTTACTTTATACAGACATGGCCACCAGTCCTTGTTCTGTACGGCACGTTCGTTATGCTGCAATTTGATCACGCATATAAACTATTAATTGTAATTCGTATTTTCCTCAACGCAGCGATCGCACGTTTTGTCCGAAAATCTTACAGTATTTGCAAGGATTTGGCGTTCATGCGTGAGTGCAGGAACGAACGGCCAGAGCGGTGCAGGCCTCGGGTTTGCGGCAATTGATCTCGAAGCGGAACGTTTTCGAAGGTCAATAATCTAAAGACCTTTTGATCGTGCGCTCTCTCTGGCTGTTCCAGTCTTGAATTTCAGGAAAAAAATGACTCAAGCTCGCAATTATACAATGGAGTCAGTGAACTGCTTCAGTGACGTTCAACTGTGCAGTATACAATGGAAAGTGGCGTTCACTCCCGCGGTTCATGGCGGAGCGCTCGAATTTCAATGCGTCATTTGATTGCATTTTGTTATCGCATTCCAACTTTTCGCTTCAGGAGTGCTTTCTATAATTAAATGTTTCAGCTTATGAATTTTTTTATATGATTGAAAAATATTTTCAATTTATTTCGATGATTCCTTTTGTATTTTCGAATGAAATAGAATTTTATGGTTTAATAACAAAAAACATAGATGATGCACACATAATTCATCAAACAGAAGAATTTACAAAATATTCCATAACAATATTTCAATTTAAATTTGTTCTGATTCAGAATTGCTTCTCATTCACTGACTTACTTACAAATAGAAATAATTTGCAGTGATCGTAATATCTAAAGTGACTTAAGAATGACACGCTACTGTTGTCAGCCAAGGTTTGTCGGCTTGGAGTCCAGCGAATCTGTGCACCGCACGCAAGACTGTCGTGCACCGCACTCGACGGATCAAGTCAACGGGAGGGAAGCGTTACTTCGGCTGCCAATTTGAAAAATAATAAAATCTTCTGTTCGCGCGTGAACTAGAGAAAAATTTCAAGCTGTGGATTTTACGCAATCATGTGTGGATGATGCTATTTTGATTCGTAAACGAATTTTTTTGTAAAATTGTTTGATAATTTTTCTATCCATTTGCTTTTATGTGTGCCTCCAAAATTATTAAACTGCAATTTCAACGGTTGAATTTTACAACATAAAAACATGCACAATATACGTTATTTCCACCACAATGCAAAAACAGAAAATTCTAATCTTATTTCAACTTGAAAAATTCGTTTATCCCAGAAGGGGAACGTTTTCAACAGAAGGTGAACGTTTATCCCATAAGGGGAACGTTTATCGCAGAAGGGAAATTATTTGACCGTCGCCCGTATTCTCCATAAGAGAACTAATTTCCTTGACGTCCGCCGAATATCAACTTTCTCTCCTGAGTCACCTGCACTGCCAGTCCCGCCCAGACGGGCCCGCGCGCGGCAATTCCACAGCAGCGAAGCGTGACTACCAAGAGCGGCCACCGCTCTGCCGCCGCCACCCGGGCAACTGCCCTTATACCAGCCCTTGAAAAACTGGGACCATATTGCCCTTAGGGTTAGTGATACGTTATAAGGGCAATGGAGAGGTGGCAATTTTAGGGAGTTGTCAATCTCTTTTGTACACTCGTATTTCTATGAGGACATTTGTGAAATGATTGATATGCTAAACATTATATGATAATTGGGAAAAATCTGAATATTTTCTGAAGTCACTGACTCAATTAGATCAACGGGGGTTCCACGCACCGATACAAAAGTCTTGTCACTATTGCGAAAAATCTTGTCGCTATTGATTTCATTCATTAATATTAATGAAAAGTGAAAAAATACAAATATTTGAATGACACGCTGGAGAGTATCCATGCACTTTATAAAATATTATCGATTATATTCTCAGTGACAGGAACAACGAGAATTTAGGCCGAGTAGTTTTAGCATATCTCTCCAGGATGAGAGTATCGTTTTTATCGTTTCACTATGTACATATCACTGAATTTAACCGGATATGTTGAGTCCAAATGACGTAGTGCAGTGTCACTATTTTTACCGGTAAAGTCTTTCCGCTTTCGTAAAACTGCAGCAACCGCAGGCATAAGTCGGAGCTCAGGTTCCCTGCTCTCAGTCGGCATCGGAAGCTCGTGGTGTGAAGTGTTCGTAGGTCCTGCAGCGGGCAGCATCACAGAGACGCGAGGTGCGTCGGTTTTGTGCGTCCAATCTAAGTATATTAATTTGTTATGATTGGCATTACGTCTCGTGGTATCTGAAATTTAGGTTTAAACTGCCCTTATTGCGTCAACCATTGTTTGAAAAATTGCCGGTTCTCAGCGTGAACTAAATATAAAGGTTTTCATATCATGCAGAGCCTTGTATATTCACAATGTAAGACCAATAAGACCGCTGAGAATTATGATACTAAACTATTGCAAACCCTTAGTTTTATTCTTTTTATCTGCGTTAGGAGTGATTAGGTTGATAAAGTTTACGAACGGGAGACTGCACCTCTGAATAAACGGAGCATTTAATACATTTTCAGCTTTTAACAAAATACACCGTCCACCGAAGTTTTCAATCTTGTTTGTAACTTGAATTCCACTACAAACTTTATTAAGCTAAAATGTTCCCGGCGTATCGCGAGAAGTGCGTCCACGTTGTCATTAGAACACGTAACAATAGCGCTACAGAAAAATAGCTCCCAGGTTACAAGCGTACGCTACGTAATTTATTCACCACCATAGCAATTGAGGGACGAATATTACTGCCATTTCCTTGACGAAATCAGTTTGCTTAGGGCACTTTCTTACCTGCTAAGAAGTGCTTGTTTTATATAGATCTAACTCAAATTTAAGTAATTCCATAAATCAAAAGCGGATGTTTCTAGCTGCTGCAGAAACATGGCACGTAGTGAAATAAATATTTTCTGACTATACAATGTGTGCAACTGTGAATGTATATTAGCTAACATCTGCTAAATTACTGTATATGAATGAATGCATATTTCTAGCAGGCACTCCGCTGCTCCTCGCTATAGATAATCTCTGAAGTTTGAGAAAAAAGTATATAGAAGGTCAACCGGACAGCAGACTGACTTGCGGGTGGCAGGTTAACTCGGAAGACCGACTTGCGGGTGGCAGGTTAACTCGGAAGACCGACTTGCGGGTGGCAGGTTAACTCGGAAGACCGACTTGTGGGTGGCATGTTAACTCGGAAGACCGACTTGCGGGTGGCAGGTCAACTCGGAAGACCGACTTGCGGGTGGCAGGTTAACTCGGAAGACCGACTTGCGGGTGGCAGGTTAACTCGGAAGACCGACTTGTTGGTGGCAGGTTAACTCGGAAGACCGACTTGCGGGTGGCAGGTCAACTCGGAAGACCGACTTGCGGGTGGCAGGTTAACTCGGAAGAGTAGCCGATTTTCCTGCTACATCTGCAGTTGCTCAGAAAAAATTATTTTTTGTGAGAGACATATTCGAAATGAAATGCAGACTTGCGGGGATAAAATTTTAATTCAGATGTTCCGAATAAATTTTGAAAACGAAATTTCGTTGCTATACACGATACCAGACTGAAGACAAACACACGCACCACATGGACGGTTTGCACCAGACATTATTAAAATTCTCTGTATGAATGAAAGTGCCTAATCTAAAATTCAGTTTATGTTTTTCTTAGAAACTTCTGCTATTATTTCACCAATGCGAGGCTTGCATCTCTATTAAATTAATGATTGCTCAGAACAATGAACAGAACTATCTCTTCACATATTATTTTCAGAAGCTTGTTTCATTGATATCTTTTAATTCTTATCGCATTCTTTTGCTCCTCTCCATGTGACAATAGGTTGCGTTTATACTCGCTCTTCGTTGACTGTTTCAAATAAACCCAAGCAATTACTTTCCATTTATCCATAAAAAGAACATTTCATCTTCTCTGGATCATGGGTTATTGTCAGGTAACTGTTGTAAAGTCGTCTAAATTAAGTATATAAATCTATTGCTTGCTGAAATCGCAAGTTAATCAGGAATTTAAAAGCAAAGACAGTATCACAAAAATTTGCCATTTCTTGTTTGATTTTTAATACCTGATAGTGGATTTTACTTTACTAATTGATTGTATTTATATTTTATCTGTAGGCTAATGAACTGACGATTGAGCTGGACTCCGAAACGTTTTCTCAGATAAAGAAATGGTGAATTTTTTTGGTATTGTCTCTGCTTTCAAATTCCTGGTCATCTAATTGAAGTGTTCATACTTCAGTGTTCTAGACGACGGTGCCACATCTCCTTTAATTATAACAATAGCCTTGATATCCTCCGTGCAGCATGGAGAATTTAGGCTATGGTCCGGACCCCTCGGACCCTCAGGAGGGCAGAGGCGCTCGTGCCATCTTCACGCCGCCCCCCAACGGCGTGAGCAAGCACCTCAAGAGCGGCGTGTACAGGAACGGCGTGCCACAGTTCGGCAAGAATCACAAGAACGGCGCCGTGGACCCTGAGAAGGTGCGTTCTCTGATTATGATATTGGGTGAACAACGTAAAGACTAGCGTAGTCTTGAAAGCTTGAACAAAAGATTATCTATATTGATGCAAGTAATTCTAATTCTATCGCTCAGCACGACTATGTTCCTATCTGAATTCTATTTATGTCCACACTAAACTATTAATGGTGAAATGTTTCCTTTTTCGACTAGTTATTTCGCATAACCTCGAGAATTTAGGGCCTTTTCACTCGATATTAATCCACTAATTACGTATAGGTTCGTGTCTGGCTATGACAAATCGTCAAAAAAACGGATTTATTGATGATTTCCCACAAAACAAAAAACCAGCCTAGACCGGATTTCGAATTCGAAACATGCTGTCCGATTTTGAATTTAATAAAAATCTACCAGCATGGATTTAACAAAATTTTGTTCACATACTCACGTCAGATTATCACGGTGCTTGGTTCCGGCGATTATGGTCGCGCTTTGGCCGGCCGCCTCGTCAAGTCCGGCTACACCGTCTACATCGGCTCCCGCGATCCCAGCAGAGAAAACACAATGTGAGTAACTGAATAAAGTTTAATTTATGCCAATATGACCGATTTCCAAGGTGGCGTTTATTTAGACAGTGAACATTCCGTTTCTATTACATTCCTACGGTATTGCGTCTAGTCTAAAAGCTAAAATATTGCAGGGGAAACCTACGCCTATCAAAAGGTTCTCGTTCCTGACCGGAAAATGACGCTACGCAATTGCAGTTGGAACGTAATGACGCAGCGTCGTAAGCTGTTGTAATGTAACGTAAAGACCGAGGTGCGGTCCCGCCGAATTCATATCTCTAGAACGTCGTCGTCAGGCTGCGAGTGCGGGTGTAGGAAACTACGCAAAAAAACTTAATCGGAAGAAGCGTAGCTAAAAAATCGTTGTGTATGCGAGTAAAACATTCTAAAGGTCATTCGGATCTTTACTGGTAATCATAACACAAAAATAGTGATTCTATAACTGCAGTATGTGCATGGTACATTAATCAAACATTAAACAAAGTAGGCACAAAAAGTGCAATATTGCGTTAACGCTTATTTATAACAACTTATAAAATATTTCTAACAAATCCAACAGGCTGCTCTATTATTTTTTATCCATTAATGAAGGCTTGAACATTATCCAGTCGTTGTCCACGAACATTTGCGAGCAAAAAAAAAAAACTAATAATCATTTATCCTATATAGGCATCAAAGCCAAATGCAAATAAATAAAAGAGTCTTTTAAAATCAAAAAGAGGAATCCGGATCAATGGCATATCGACAGGAGCCTTTATTAAGTAGATAACAGATGCATGTAGCACTGTCAGAGCGAGCATTCAATCATGCGAGCGGTCTCAAGCGTTAGTCAATCATGAATACATTTTTGGAGAGTAGCAATCATTCATTGAAAGACCTTACACAGCCTCTAGTGTCTTCTTCTCCAAGGACAATATTCACTCATAAAAGCCTATGACAACAACATTGCTCTTGCACAAAGGAATACCAAAAAGCGTCTTTCAATTTTCCGAGCCTTGATCGCAAGACGCCCTCGCGATCTAGTGTCACACAAGGCAGCGCCGTGGCACGCGCAGCTCTGCGTGCGACACCCAAACAATGGCTGTTTAATTCAAGGTTATATCCACGAGCAGATCTAGGGTGTAAGCCTTTGCTTACAACAACAATATTAAAACTTTGCTTAAAAACAACAATATTTTGTGTTATTACGTAACATTGTTGCAAATTCGTCGCCGAAATCGAGGTTAGTTTATCCTCAAAGTTCTGATCGCATTAGTTTTTGTTTATGCAAATATTCTAACATTTGTAAAATTGCGCACAGCAACCTTGAGTCGTGGGAGCATCCCGGCATCCTGTAAATATTTGTGCGATAATAAAATTGGTCGGGAGTTGATCCTTGCTAGACATTTACTCGCCATTGTCCCCTGTTCTTCAAGCCCTCACTACACCTGCTGTCCCTGTTCTTCAAGCCCTCACTACACCTGCTGTTCCTGTTCTTCAAGCCCTCACTACACCTGCTGTCCCTGTTCTTCAAGCCCTCACTACACCTGCTGTCTCCTGTTCTTGAACTATGTCTAGAACAAGGAATATTGTATTGACACCATGTGGGGACTTTTTGTGTGTACAATTTACAACATTATTGATAAATATATGAATTTTTCAGCACTTCCGAATCACGATCAAAATTTTCGATCTCCTATTGTGAGCCGAAATTGATGACTAACAAAATTATTTATTTGAAGGTAAGACTTCTAACGAGTTGCCTACGTTTGTCTTGGAGTTATTTTTGTAAGTTCTTTAGTCGATTTTGAAATCATTGGTTTTTGACCGCAACTTCCTGGAGCCTGAGGCTCCCTTGCTCCGGACCGCTTAGCTTCATCTCACCGGTTACATTTTTTGGGAAGATTCACTTCCAACGAGTGTATTTGTCAAGGTAAAAATAATAAATAAACTCGTTCAGTGGTGCATTTCTGTGAAAAAAAAACTCGATTACGAGGGAGAGCGTCAATTTAATGGCGACTTTGACACGCTTTTCCTCGCGTCGGTTTGAAGGGATAAAAACTGATGCCGGTTCCCGTGATCGAGCTGCATGTGTTTTATTCGATGTCAAAACAAAGACATAAAAAGACTCTTGTTTAGGGACTTGTTCGTTCCTAGAAAACAGCTGTAAATGTTGCCGGTTGAATGTTATCATTTGCCTCAGCGAGATAACGTACCGTCTTAGCAGCTCAGGAACAATGCAAGGCTTCGGTTAGAAGGAAACGGTATAATATTTGAACGCTTATATAGCTTGCAGGATATACATGAATGTATGATTTTAGCATATAGACAACTTCAGATGAAGCCATGCTGTCCAACACAAGCAGCCAATAATTCTCCTCCGATTCACGTGATTCTGTTGCCTTGCAAGCGACCATGCTGAGCCTCGCTATACCATTATAGTGAACCATGACCTACGTACAGTGAACTACGTACAGTGAACCATGAACTACCTACCGTGAACCGTGAACTACCTACCGTGAACCATGAACTACGTACAGTGAACCATGATCTGCCTACAGTGAACAATGAACTACCTACCGTGAACCATGAACTACCTACCGTGAACCATGAACTACGTACAGTGAACCATGAACTACCTACCGTGAACCATGAACTACGTACAGTGAACCATGAACTACCTACCGTGAACCATGAACTTGTGAGGCTAACAGTAGCGGTCAAGGCCAACTGTTCGCACCCGTAGCAGGATGGCCCCGAAACTGCAATTACCAGCGACGTCTGCGCTGACGCGTCGTCAATATATTCAGTTCATGTTTCTTCTTCTTGAAGTTCACGCATTGTTTATCTTATTCGGTGGAACTTTGAAGTTGTACAAAATTGGAAATCTTCAGTTTGAAATATCCCATAAAATTACTATTTGCGGCTGCTCAAGACATTAGATTGCTCATCGACTGCCATCTCTTTACTGATGCTAGTTTATTAACTACGACAATTTTCGGTCGTATTACCAGCAAAGTTATATTAAAAATAAATCGTCATAGACCCATCACTATCCATGAGGTTATCTTCACTTAGGAGACAACACAGCAATTTTATGCAGTTCACTTAAAAGTTAACCGCATTCCTGCTAGAATGTCAAAGGTCGAAAAAGTTTGTACCGGACTTTGTAATTTGTTAAAAATCATTTTTAATGTTAGAAAGAGTAGTTGCTTGCGACCGATGTATGCGCTAAACTTACGACTGCTCGGGTTATCTTCATTAACTCCTGCACGAAATTAAATGCATTCAATAATGGGCGAGAAATTCTGGTGGTTTTAACACAATTAACGGTTGGTTTATCCTCCTTTTCTTGCACCTGAGATTAAAATTTTAAGATGAATAGAAACCTGCCCGCCGAGTCTCTAGGTCGCTTCAGGGCGCGTCACAGTGAAAACGCGTCTTCAGTTCTGGGTCGTCGACCAGTTTTTCTGCTTAATCCTTTCTTCGTCTCAATGGAAACTGGAACAGTTGAGTCGAGATAAGAAGCTCCGTCCCACGCGTGTTGCTAATGTGACATCTGATGCGGAGTGCCACTGCCTTCAGTGCTGCATGCCATCTTGATGTGGAGTGCCACTGCCCTCAGTGCTGCATGCCATCCTGATGTGGAGTGCCATTGCCTTCAGTGCTGCATGCCATCTTGATGTGAAGTGCCACTGCCCTCAGTGCTGCATGCCATACTGATGTGGAGTGCCATTGCCTTCAGTGCTGCATGCCATCTTGATGTGAAGTGCCACTGCCCTCAGTGCTGCATGCCACGTTGATGTGGATTGCCACGACCCTCGGAGCTTCGTGCCATCAAGAGTGGCAAGTGCTAACCTAAAAACGTTTGCACCTTGTTAAGGATGGTAAAGAAGATTACAGTCAACTACATCATGAAAATATGAAAAGGGTAAAAAAAAGCTCAATCATCTTTCCAGGTTTCACAATATCAAATACTGTATTAAGATTCCAAGAACCAATTCAAGCCTAAACCGTCAGCTCGCTACCATCAGCACATTATTAGCTCACGTGAATACAAATGTCAATTCATTACGACTGCCAAATTAATTGAAATGGTTGGGCAACATTGTATAATTTTAATACGTTAATATATGCTCCAAATAGTCATACTATTTTAAGCAATAATCATATGTTCATAATAGTCATAATAGTTCTATAGTCTCATACATGTTATGAACTACAAACGATCATTAATAGCAAGGAGGGGCATCAAGCTCCCGCTACGGCTTGTGGAGGCGGCAATAAACAACCAGAAATGAAGAATGCATTAAGAAGAATTGTTCAGATTGATAATAGACTCATAACTTCTGACGATACCCGGCGCTCTCTAACTATCAGCCCTTGTGGATTATAATCACCAACCTCCACGCACGCATTTATTGACATCCAAAAGACCGAAAAACAAGTTCGCTTTTTTCAAAAAATAATAACTGATCTGAATAATGGTTTTTCGTCGTTCCGGTTCCTGTTCTGGTGAAAACGTGAAATAACTAGCCTGAGGCTTGCACTGTTTCTTGTGGCATTATTTGTGCTCAGTGTTTGGAATTTTAGGAGAGATCTGGCAAAATTAATAAGTGGTGGCAATGCCTGGAGGTTTGGTCTCCATCGTCCAGCTTTCAGCAAGGAGCTGCCAGACTACGCATCCTACTTGGGTTATCTTAGGTCGATAGTTTCTGTGCAGTGCGTGGGCCGGTCAGTTAATTCTTGTCCAGATTTTTGGTGATGGAACTTAGGAACTTTCCACTTGATGCACGACATGAACAGTCTACTTACTAATATGGGCCGTCTGCATGAATTTAGACATGATTTCAGTGAAAGCCTTTCCAGGAATAAAGTCATGATCATTTGTATGTCTGAATAGAGCAAGGGCGTTGCATTTTGGTTGATCGCAGTCCTTCCAACCACAGCATTAACGCAATTTTTTAAAAGTTGTATACGTTTGATCAATATTGCTTATTTGTGTTTATTACCAAGTGTCT